CTGCCCCCTCCCTGGAGGTGTTCAAGGCCAGGTTGGAAGAGGCCTTGCGCAATGTGATCTAGTTGAGAGATGTCCCTGCCCATGACAGGGAGGTTGGATTAGATAATCTCTAAGGTCCTTTTCAATTTAGACCATTCTGTGATTCTGTAATTCTTTAATAACTGAAAATGTTCAAATCCTGGTTTTGAATGAATGGAAAGAGTATCTTATTGGTTTACTTGCCCAGTTGGAAGCTGTCAGTATCACCTTTAGTGTTTTATCTGTCAATTTTTTTTGTTAAAATGTTTGTACTATTGTTTCTAAGATGTTAGTATAAACATGTCATTTGTAAGTGGCTTCATCTGGTTACTGACGAACTGGTGACTGAAACAGATCGGATTCAATCTAGTATGTATTAACTAATCCTGCAGAGGAACGATGGAAGTGCCAGTAAAAGAATGAGTTCTTTTAGTCTGAGCTGAGCCCTTGTCAGTTTGCATTGCTGTTTTTTTGTCATAACTATGTTCAACAGGGATTAATATTCATCAGTACCCGTCACTGTATTCTCTGCTCCTGTCAGATTTCCCTGTGCACATCATTTGTGCACTGTGTCTCAGAGCCTCTTTTCAATGTTCAATCAATCTTTAGAGTTGGGACTTCTGATGCTTTGATCAGCGCTTATGCGTATGGCAATTTATTTCAACAGTGACAAATCATATGCTTATCAGACAAGGGCAGAGTAAAATGTCAAAAAAACCCCCAAAACTTACTTCCAGAGTGGACTTACCAATGAGTTGTTCGAATCAAGTAATGATTCCCTCCTGCCTTCCCCACCTTTCCCCCCTGCCCCCCAAAAAAGAGAACACCACACCCCCTCCCAAGGTAATGAATCATAGAATTTCATAGAATGGCCTAAGCTGGAAGGGACCTTAGAGATCATTTAATCCAGCCTCCCTGCCAACAGGGACACCACCTCTTGACTAGATCAGGAAACACATGGGGACCAAACAGGAATAGAACCCACGACCTTGGCGTTGTTAGCGCCACGCTCAACTGACTGAGCTAACCGGCCCCCTGAAAGTAGATGTATTTCTCAAAATGGTATTACAGGATGGTAAGGCAAAACAAAGACAAAACTTAACGAACCTGGGATGATTACTAAAGTGATAGATGTTGGGTTTTCAGGCCTTAGTTACTCTATGCTGTCTGGGCTTGAGAGATTTTCTCATTAGCTTTAATATCTTACCAAACAACAATGAAACGATCCAAGCAGTAGATTTCTGAAAGAAAGTTGCAGTTCATGGGTAGTTAAAGTCTCTATTCAGCAGTAGTGTGATTTAATACTGATCAGACCGTTTTATATCTAGAGTGTGCTTTGTGTTGTGTCGGAGTGTTTCATTATTTATTTCATGTTGGCTCTCTGGTGTGTAGTATGTGATCTCTCTGTAAAATCCCTGTATTGTTGGCAGTTTTCAGAGATTTGGCTAAGAAAGACCTAATTAGCGCCTTATCTCTTTTTGCACCCTCCCTACTGATGCTTTTTTGTTGCTTGTGGTGCCTGTTGTTCTGTGCTGTTCTCCCATCTTCAAAGAGCTGAAGCATAGCGAGAGCTGATTTATTCTGTGGCAGAAAGTACAAGCTCTTTGAAGAATCTATTCAGTTGCACAGTTGTTCGAAGTAACTACCACTTTAAGGGTCGTCTTTTATCTGATCAAACAACTTCTGTAAAATATGGCAAAATTTTCCATAATATGAGTTGCTTTTCTGATGCTTATTACTGGCCTTGGGCTGTAGGGCAGCAGTGCCACTTTGACTTTTGAAAACTGCTTACACAGACTTTGTTGCAGACAAACTCATGTAATAGATATACATTGAGGATTGGGCCAAGATCTTTGCTGAAGTCGGATCAGAGCCACAGAGCATATCAGAAGAGCAGATCCAGAGTCAGAGTAGCCCTGAGGTCTTATGTCATAAGTAGCTTCTTGCCTCACCTGACTACAAAAATTAATATTTTACCTGCTTTCTTACTATCATAAACCTATAAATCTTGGGGAAGATGGAGAGCTGGTTTATAACGCACATATTAATAATGAAACACGAACACACACAGTGAGCTGATTGCTGTCTAAAGTCAATTCAGCAGCCATTTTGGCAGAAAATTTGCCATGGATAGAAATAAGATTGAGTAATTGTATTGTGCTATGTTTCTTGTAAGACACCTCAGTTAAGACTTAGCAGATATTTAATTAAAGTTTTAAGGGCTGGTTCTTCTTCCGACTGTGTGCCCCTTACCACAGTAATTTAACAGCTGAGACAGGGAAGCAGGCTTTTTAGAAGACAAAGATTGATTGGGGAAACATGCCTGAATCTTCCCTCCGGGGCCATTTCTCCAGTGGAATTTTTGTTGGTCTTACAGTCCCATGTCAGGTTCTGTCCCAAAGGGTGGCAGAAGCCCTCAGCAGAGCAGGCAAAGCTGCACTTTCCCAGCCTGGCTTCGTTCCAGGTCATTACCTAGAGTTTTAGTGGCACTCATGAGAATCTGTTGTGGTTTATTTGCCTACTAAAAGGAAGAGCTGAGAGTGTGGCCATGACGTGTTTGAATGAACATGAGACCATTTATGTGCCAACTGATGTTTTTGTGTCTTCCCAGGGAATATATTTAAGGACAGTAAAATAGTGACTTCTGTTATGGGCTGCATAGACAGATCCACTTTGTTTGGAGTCACTGTTGTAACAGAGGGGTTCAAGAGCTGAGCAACGTCCTTCAAAAAGTTGCCATCCTACTCGTTGTATCCCCATGGTTCCTTCCATTTATGGCATTACACTCAAAATGTTTTGATAGAATGTCGTAGTACAGCAAATACCAAAAGGTGAAAAAAGTGATTTTCTTGTTCGTTTGTTAGGGGGATTTGGTCAGACCAAATCATCCTGCCTCAAATTTTTCAAAAGAAAAATCTTAAAGCTAATGTTAGGGACCGGTATTTAGGTGCTTGATACACTTTTGAGAATGAGGGAATGTCTAATCTGGACTTTTGCCTCCAAACTTCAGAAAACCCAAACAAACAAACAAAAAGCCCCTCACTGTTTTTCTTGTCAACTCCAAATATTGATTAAGCAACGGTTAAAGTGGAATTTTTTAAATCATGAGAGAAGCATGTACTTGAAGTACTTGATAGGTGCTTGTTACCACTTCATTTCCATTTGACAAGAGTCAGGAGTACAGCTTTAAGGTTACCTGCCATCTGAGTCTAGGCAAGTAAATAACACCTCATGGAAAATTTGTATTTGACTTCAGAGGGTCAGAGTGCTTGAGTATAGACACAGTCTGCTGCATACGTTCTAACTGCTTTTGATGTCCTGTGGGGTTTTTTTGTGGCTGCTACTTCAGGAAGAAGTGAAAGTAAATTGAAGGAAAGAAAGTAAAAGCAGCCAATCTGATATTTTTGAAGTAATAAGTGAATGATTTTTTTTTTTTAGTTACTGTGGTTTTTTAGCTAAATGTGCTGCATATAGTCCTCACCTTCATGATTTGAGAGGTAATTAGAGGATTTGTAATATCCCACTGGTTTGATCACACTTCTGCTTGTGACATTTTGTAATGTGTATATGTCTTATAAATAACATTTTGAAGGTATAAGGTTATACAGAGATAATTGCACAGCTGAAATGCATTGGCACAAGGCCAAAGGCTAAGCACTTTCCACCATCCCTTCTAAATTGAATAACTTCACTTTATGAAGTGTATCATCAGAAATTGTTTTCATTACTCCCAGAGGGCAAATTAAGGTTAATAAAAATCCAATTCCAGATTACCCATATGTGTGAATATTTGTGTTTTTAGAATCTCTCTTTGCCAATTACATTCCTCACTGGCTGAGTATATGTGAATACAAGTACATAGGTCATAATTTTAGCTCGTGTATTTCTACAATTTTGACCTGTTTGATCGCTCTGAGACAGAGTTCCCCTAAACACGATTGCGAGTCTCGGAAGGATTTCTCAAACTGAGCAAAACTAAACACACTCCTTCCATTAAGCCATGGTTTCTCACATCCCCTGAACCCCCACCATTGCAGATTCTGCTTAACCCACATAGCAGCCATTTGACCCATTTGCTTCAGTCCTCAAAATCAGTATTTGTATATTCTGTTCTTTAAATGTTGTGTTAAATAGCATATTCTTCATACAAGGCAGCCTACTATTTTGTGGATTCTTAGGCAACCTTTAGTAAAGGCGAATGATGAGGGAATGTTTTTTTCATTTTTCTTCCTGCAATAAATTGGTCACATATAATCTGAAACAGCGCATGCATATTGGAGTCACCGTTTCTAGTACTCTGCTTTTGCAGCATTAGATGAGTCTTGTTACAAGTGGCCCCTTTTCTCCTCACTCTTCAGCTTCAATGCCCTCTTCTTCTCCCCACTTCCCAAAAAAGAGGACTTTTACTGTCTTGGTAAGACAGCTCGTTTCTGCCTCTTAGTGTAAGAAAGAACATTGTATTTATGGAGCAGGGCCTAGAGTACAGGAATATTTACTCAAGATAGTCTATCAGTCTCTATCACTGTGTGGTTCAGGGGCTCACCGTTTCAGAAATGGTGTCTTTATCACCTGGAATATTTTTTTTCCCATTTATAAATTTATCAGTTTTTAAAATCTATGTACTCTTATGGTACCAAGAATAGCTTTTGGCAGAAGTATCTTGTTGCTAATGTTTTAGTATATTTTTTAAAAGAATTTTTTTTCCACCCCAAAAATTAAATTAAGGAATTAATAAATTGCTTTTTGCTGATCTTAACCTTAAATGAAAATGTTTCACACCACTTAGTTAATATCCTCAGTCTATTAGTGTCCCAATACTGAGAACAAAGCATTAGGAAAACCAATGAGAAGTAATAATTGGGAATGCTCGGAGGAAAAAATAAATAATGTTTCCATTTATAAATTTATGCAACCTGTGATGCAGTTGTTGCATTTTTTTTTTCCTTTGGATGCAGCAGTGTTTACACACTTTTTCTCTGCAGGTTATTGACATGCCAGAACACAATCCTGGAGATATGGGTGGAACAATGAGACTGGGGAAGAGAAGGACTGTTTTCAAAACACAAAATTCTGTTTTAAGTAAGTTACATTTCTGCGCTTATGACTTGCTTTTCGGAACTCTGTAACAGGGCAAAGCAAAAATGCCAAAGCATATGGTAGAGGGCTACAAACTCAAGCAATGAGTGGGGTGACAGAGTTCCCAAACTCGTTCACTCTGATCCCATTTCCATATACGTTTACCCAGGATCAGAATGTAAAGAAAGAGATGAGAGACATCTGGAAGTCCCAGTGAACAGGTCACTGCAGGGCCAAACTCTTTCAGTAAATGATGAGGAGACTGTTAAGATAACTGAAATGCTTTCTATGGTAGTTTAATTCATATTTTCTTGGAAAGATCACAGCGTTTTCTTCCTATTCTCTTTACAAGTTAATAGGATGCCTGAACCAGGCCTTCGTGTTCTACCCCTGAAGCTTTTTGGTACAACTGACGCAAACTGGTGGCCATTATCCTCTTGCCAGACCTAAACATTCCTCATCATTCCCTAGAGCTGCCAGTACACTTCAGCCTTAAACGTCATCTGGCCTCACTGCCTTAGTCCTCTCCTTGTCTTGAATTGTTTCCTAATTATAGCCAGGCCCTGTTTAACTCTAGCCTCTGATCCAGCCCAGCCCTAGGCCTAGCCCAGCCCTGGAAACAGCCTTGTTTTGGAAAAGTGAATTATTTGTTGTAGGAAAGGAAAATTATTTGCTTTAACAGGATGCTTCAAAGGGCAAAATGAAAACAGTGAGAGTGTAGAACAAATTATTCAGTTTGTTCTATATGTATTTTAAAATTGAAGTAATACTTTTCCTCCTATTAATCAGCCTATTATGCAGTAGTAATGTAAGCAATGCTGCGAATTTGTAAAAAGTGATTTCTTGTCCATCAGTTAAATATGGGCATGTTTCTTATATTGCCCTGCACCTGACATTGATCTGAGATATTACTATATTTAGCTATATTGAACCTGTGGAATGTATCCTTCTGAGCTTTTAAAAATTACACCTACTTCAGGAATCGACCATGGTGTAATACATGTGCATATTTAATGAAAAATCTGCCTTTCTAGCAAATGCTTTTGCTAGTAATCTGACTGACCTGGGTGATGCTTTTCCTGGGCATGATATGGATATGCGTACCACAATGTATGAGTTGTTCCGTGGCCTAAACACTTCTTAGAAAAGTTAATAAAAATTAACATGTTGTAACTCTTGACCAATATTACGAGTTGTTTAGATGACTGTAGATGGCTCATAGAAAGCTCTGGCAGTTTACTCAGGAAATCTGATTCCTGTGTCTAATACTTTAGAACCTGAATGAAAGTAATGACTTTGAAAAGGTGAGTCCTTTAATGCATGTACCACCTTTTGTTAAATTTTCAGTACAGTCACTCTACAATTTTTGGAAATCTTCTTGGCAGTCTAGTTCTTGTACCAGCCCCTAAGTGAGAGAGTAATCCTAATGACACTAGGATAAATTGCAAGCAAAGTTTGAGCTGTGACTGTGAGAGAGATGATTAAATTCGGCTTACTACATACCTCTAACTTGCTCCTTGTTGCTCCCAAATATAGAATGTTCTATGTTAGCATCAGAGAACTGCAGGAGTCATTTGGGTAATAAGATGAGGAAAACAGAGGAAAACAATTTTCTGTTGCTGAAGGTATTAAGCCAGCTGCCATGCATAATTACTAAAATTGAGCAGGTGCTGCTATAAGATTTCCTTCACTGAACCTTTCGTGTACAGCTGTTGTAGAACCCTGAAGGGATTTAATGTTGCTTGTTCACTCAAACATTTTTATTTTATTTTATTTTGGACCTTACAATTTAAATTAGTTTGAGCATAGCCTTCAGGCTTTAGTCTACCTAAGCTATTTCTGGTCAAGGAATGCTGAATATGAATCCTTAGTAAACTCAGGTAACAGTAAATTAAAAGCAAGTAGTCATTACTCAGAAAACAGAAAGTGAGTGACATGAATGGTGTCCTGTTACGTGTTAAGGTATGAATTTTTTTTCAGACTTAAATTAGAAGAAATAGTTGTAATGACTTTTAAAGCAACACATTAGCATTAATTCCTTTTTTTTTGGTGTATATTTAGGGAAACTTTATGGTGATGAAACTTTTGTAGAAGAACGACACAGGCATCGATATGAGGTAAGCACTGCTAATGTACTTTGTGCTCAAAAGTTAAAGCTTAAGCAAACTGTTTTTCTCTTAGGAGGCATGATTTTGCTTAAAGCCAATGGGAGATTTCTTACATAAACATAACCCAGAATTTAGGAATGGTTAGATAGTATAATTTAGATCGAAAGGAACCTTGGCAAGTGTTCTGGTCCAACTCTCTGTTTGGAGCTGAGCCAACTTCAAAATTAGATCAGGCTGTTCAGGATTTTGTCCTATCTAGTTTTGAATCTCTCTGAAGAGGCAGATTCTCCAACATCTTTTGACAATCCGTTACCGTGTTTAACCACTTCGCTGTGAACGCTTTTTTCCCTTATATCTAGTAGGAGGCTTCCCTGGGCAGTTTGTCTTTTACGTCTCAGTTTCTTGCTGTGTGTCTCTGAGGAGAGTCTGGCTCAGTCTTCTTTGTCCCATCCCATTAGATAGTTGAAATTGGCAACAAGATCTGCTCTTTGTGTTCTCCTCTCCAGGCTGAACAAATCCAGCTCATCCAGTCTCTCCTCCTTTGTTGCATTTGGTTCAGCCCCCTAACCCTACTCGTTGAACCTCCTATGGACTCACATTTTGTCAGTCTCTTTCTTTTACGGAGGGGCCTGAAACGAAACACAGTATTGCAAAGGCGTTCTTGCAAGTGTTTGGCAGAGGGGAATAATATAATGTACTCTTTCTGTGGTAGAGAAAGTGTGGAGAAGGTCTTAGCAGTATGGTCTTGGACAGCAATGTCAGATATCACCTGACTTGACTTCCTATAAAGTATTTGAAAGGTGAAGTCCTTAAATTCATTGCTCCTTGGCTTATTTGGCTTATTTAAGGCCTGAGATTATGTTCAGGTAGTGCACATTCGTTCATGATTTAAATGTAGGCAGGCTTCAGGCATCTACAACCCAGAGGCTAATTCAGATTGCTTGCTTCTTACCGTCCAACCCTGTAAGTTGCTTATATAGGTCCCCTCCTCTGTTTGAGAATATCTGAGCAAAGGTGTCCGCGCACGTTCAAAATACTGTCGTTCAAGGAGACAGACAAGAGCCGACTTCTGAGATTTATCTCTCGGATATTTCAAAAGGGACCTGGCTCCTTCAGTATCTCCAGAGGGACCTGAACTATGAGATCTGTGCATGCTACAAACTTATTTGGACAATGTTAAGTTTCCTTAGAAAGCTAGAAGAAGAATGTGATGGTGGTAGAGGTGATCAGAGTTTGCATATTAGCTGAGTGATTAGAACATCACCAAAGAAGTGGAAGAGCTCACTGCAGAACTCCTCAGTTTGAAGGAGGAGCTAAACCACAGCTTGTGTCATAACCACTGAAATGTAGTGTTCAAAGAGGAGGTTGTTCTCTATGCCTGCTGTAGTTGGGTGTTTTAAAAATGAGGAATGTAAGCTGCTCAGAATCAGGAGAAGCGCAAACAGAAGGGACCCTGGCTTTGATCTTGTGAATGTTATGTAGTCAGTTTTAAAATTACTGATTTGTCACTATTTAATAAGCATGCCCACTTACAAATTTATACCAAAGAGTTGTTAAAACAAGAAAGCAAAAGTTCCCAACTCTTCTCAATTCTTTTCGTTCTTGTGTGCACACTAAAGAAGTTGTAATTAACTACTACTGTTTGTTACATCCAAAAATAAATGGAACTACAATTATTGCTACTTTCAATATTTCAGGTGAACCCAGAATTGACTGACTGCTTTGAAGAGAAAGGTTTGAAATTTGTTGGCCATGATATGGAAGGGAACAGAATGGAAATTATTGAACTGGAGAGTGAGTGTCTTTACTTGTCTGTAGTATGTTCTGCATTTATTAAAACCATGCAAACCGTAGGTTGTTAAATGGTTTGTAGGCACGATATTTAGCTGTCATAACAGCCAAGATGGTGTTGGGGAATATTGCTGACTCCACCCGTGCACTACAATGGATGAAGATTCAGAGGATGTTAGGAGAAGTTTTAGTTTTCTCAAGGATTGGGCATATATTCAATTATGAGGGAGAGACATGTTCCTTTTCCAAAGGTTGTAGGACTAGCTCAGTGGAATTTGGCCATGTAGAATCGTAGGGTGATTTGGGAGGTCACCTAGTCCAACCCTCTGCTTCAACATAGGGCTCCCTTCAAATATAGATCAGGTTGCTGAGAGCCATATTGGTCAAAGTTTGAGTATCTGCAAGTATGCTGTTAGCTGGACTTCAAACCACTCACTGCTACTCTTTGAACCCATCAGTCCAGCCATTTTTTTAGCACACTTTGTAGTCTACCCATAGCTCCCAACTTGGATGCTAGGAAACTATACCAAAAGCTTTTCTAAAATGAGGATTGAGGAATGCTGCTGCTCTCCTTGCATCGTAAGACTATTCCTAAGTTTGTGCCCTGCTGTCTTCCTGTCCTTCATGTGTCTGAAAATGCCTTGGAGGAGGATTTGTTTTATAATCTTCCCATAAACTGAGGTGAGCTGACCATCCTGTAGTTCCTTGGATCCTTCTTTCTCTCTTTCTTGAAGAAGGGCATTGGTGACTGCCTTTTTTGAGTCATCAGGGACCTCCCATGATCACCTTGGCATTTTAAAGTTTAAAAACCAGCTTCATGATGACATTGGCTTGCTCCCTAAGCACCTTCAAATATTTTTAGTCATGTCCCAATAACTAATATATGTTTAGCTTGCTTGAGTATATGAAATATGTGTACATGCAATATAACCAAAGAATTAAATGTCAGTGTAGTATGATGCCAAGAGAGGCTGTGACATCTCCACTCGTGCAGATAGAGACCTTCAAAACTTGAGTGGACAATGCTGTCAGCAACCTGATTTAACTTTGCACTTGACCATGCTTTGGGCAGGCGGTAGGACTAGAGACCTCCCAAGGTGCCCTCCCATCAGTCTGTGTCTCCTTCAGTTACCCTCTGCTTAGAAAAAAATAGAAAAAAGCATGAAAATCAAGTAGAAAGCAAACTGCTTCCATTCACAGAAGTGATTCAGATAGATAAGGGTTTGATACTCTGAAAATCTGGTAGATTTAGACTACTTTACCAAATACGACTTCGTGTCTTTTCTAAAAGGGTAAAAGGAGCTACACTGTATATGTTTGTTGAATGCTACACAGGATAGCTCTTAGAAACAATCCCTTTGATTTTGCTTGAATCTTTGAATAACTCCTCGCTGTTAAGTCACTCTTGGCTAGACAAGTATCAAGCACCTGAAGATGCAAGTTATCCTACAGGATATTTTTTTCCTTTCTTATGTGGCCCCTAACTGCCACAGGATTTGAATATAGACACTTGCTTATAATGTCAAGCAACTGCACCATAGACTAATCTGAGAGTAGAGGATACATGCAAATTCATAAACTAATTGTTGTGGTGTTTTTTGCTTAGGGTTTTTTTTTTTTTCTGATAGATTACCTCTGTTATGCATGGTGTTGGGAGGTTTTTTTTTCTGCCCTGCGTGAAACAACTTCTATAGAAAGAATCGTGAAATAAATCGGGCAGAATTTTTAAATTGCATGTTACTGTGAACAGAATAAAAGTAGCAGTAAACCCTGGAATTATTTCATAATAGGCTACAGGGAGACTCTGATTACTAAAGAAAAACAATCATCATGGGGAGGAGAGTGGGCTGGAGCAGAAGCATAGAAATAACAGTACACCAGATAGCTTAGGCAAAGCTTTTTAAACAAAATATCCCCACAGGAAGTATTTAACGATTTGTCATTGTCTTATTTTACAGTTTCTTTAAAACTTAAATTGCATGATAGAGTGAAAGAAGTTACAGGATAAATTTAGGATCCAGGTTTTCTTTAAGACATAACAACAGAGAGAAGAGCAGTATACCAGATCATATAGCTTATCTTCATAGAGGGAAAACCCAGTTTCCTTATTATCACTAATTCTGTATCGCAGAGAAATACCTTGAATGTCTGGGAGCATTTTAGAAATTGTTGAACCAGAAGAGATCTGAGATTAATTTCATCCAGTGTCCTGGCATTAGAAGTAGTTAATATTAGCTCCTTGAAAAAACCCAAAACATTCAAAGAAGGAACAGGGTGCACAGCATGGTAAAGTACAAAAACATTTTTCCTTCCTTATCCCTTCAAAGAAGACAGAAGGGAAGCAGAAGCAGTAGTACAGAGGTGCTTTGATTGGGAAAGAGAGCTGAAGATTTCAGAGAAGATGAAGCAGCATGGCTTGTTTAACTTAGTAGGTGATGCTGAATGATGGTGATATTGCCATCCTTAATCACACAAACCAAACAGCAGGAAAGAAGAGCACCATGAGAAATGGGTTTGAGTTGGCTGTAACAAAGATGGCCTGTGAATTAGGAAAAGGGATGCTAAGCGAAAGGAGGGAGTATCAAAAGAGCTTTCTAGTGAGAGCAAAAAAACCATAGGGGGTGTTACAGCAGAGCCTTGACCCTTTGTGCATGAGACTACATGAGCTGCATTCAGTAACAAGAGACTGGACTTAATGTCCCAGGAGAAACCTTCTAAGCCTAATTATCAGAAGCTTTTTAGCCCCAGTTTTCTCTGTATGTTCCTTTCATATCCATCTCTTAGTGTGTTGCTGTATGGTAATGCTTGGTCTTTTCAGAACTGTTTTATTTTTTCCCTCAGATATGTATGGGGGCATGTTCTGAATATACATGCATAAATATCTATTGGAAACCAAAATACTGTGAAAATAGTGTGATAAGTGCAGACTTTGTGGCTGTTCCCTTCCCCTCCTTACAGGTTGGCACAGGTTTATTATTCACCTTCTAATTACATCATTGTGCACTTAAGGCTGAATCACGGGATGGTTTTCCTTAATTTGCCTTACTAACTTTCTGTCTCTGTTGTCAGTTGCTTTTTGTGGAAAAAGCTAAGGTTCCTGCTGCCTCACCCTTAAATTCACACATACTGACCTGACTTCTCGAGTCGTGTGTGAAATCTTCAATAAACTTTTTTCTAACAGTTTTTCTGCCCTCTTCTTCCTACATATTGTTTTCTTTGACATCTATCTTGCAGATCACCCATATTTTGTGGGAGTTCAGTTCCACCCAGAGTTTTCCTCAAGACCTATGAAACCTTCACCTCCATACCTGGGACTGCTGCTAGCAGCAACTGGGACACTCAATGCATACCTGCAACGTGGGTGTAAATTGTCTCCAAGGTAATCAATCTTACTTACTGACCTCCAGTTTGACAGTCACGTTTTTGGAGGGACTATCTCATTCTTCAGTTCACAAGTTCACAAGAAGAAAAGGAGTTCTTCATGTATTGATTTACTTGTTGCTGTGCATGTCTGACATAAACCATGGTGTAAAAGTATCTGGAAGCAGTAAGTGTAGTTTCTGATTTCCTCCTTTTCAGAGGCTGTTAAGGCTAAGCCAGATCCATATATTATAACCCAAAAGAAGTAAAAAAAAAAAACCTCTAGTAAACTCACATGAAATTAGTGACCTCCTGTGTTAAATAAGAGATTTGCTACAATATCAAGCAATAAAGTGAAATTCTTACCTGGTTGTATTTGAATGATAATAGTAACAAAAGAAAAGACTGATTTTATTTTGCAGTAGCTAAATAATTAATACAGCCCAGCAGATACAGACCTGAAACAGAACAGTTGGGATGTCTTTAGAGTTATGAAAGCGTTTGGTTCTTGATCAAAACTGGATGGTTCAGACAAACTAAAATCCTTTGTCTCAGTTCCCTCAGACAGAGGTTTTTAGTTTGTTGAATTTAGCAATAGTTTTTAGTCGGTTTTAACTCATTCTTGTTTATTTAAATGATATGAATAACAGTTAAAATTTCATTACAATAACAATAATAAAGAGGGAGGCCTGGGGTACAATAACAACAACAATAACAACAACAACAAAAAAGTATAACTGAAGAGTAACACAGAACAGATCCAACTCTTGCTTATTGTTTTTTCCTCTAAACAAGGCACCAAATTTACTAGTTCTGTGGGTTTGGGTGGTTTTTTTTTAGCATTGCTTTCTATTAAAATGAGGCCCTTTTCTTAATCAAGAAATAGAAATTTTATTCAAGTTTCATTAGCAATGGAAAATAGCCAAGCCAGACCAGATCAATCTATTGTGTTACCTTGCTTCTTTTGGATATCAGTTGTCTTTCATAAAGGCATCTTTGCTCAGCCTGGCCAATTGTGCAATAATGTACATATAGAGAGAATTTCTTTCTGATCTGCAAACTACAGCTTGATTGAAATACTCCTGTTACCTTAGTCTATCATTGTTATTAGTGGTCATAACATCATTTACCTTTTTAAAAATTTGTGCCACTGCATTACATTGGCCAAATTTTTGTGGTGCTTGGCAGGACGTAGTCTTCAAGCACAGGGATCTTCAATCTTTTGCTCTTGTGGGCAGTCCTTGTCTCACAGTTCATCTTGTTTCCCAGATCCCAATATCCTTTCTTCTACTGCTTCCTCCCATAAGTATACCTGTTCATCTCTGAGATAAATTACTTGTTTTTTTGAATGAATGATCTGCATGTGTCCTGCTGATTTAAATCCAAGTCCCTTAGCAAATATGTTTTCTAACTTTGACTTGTAAGTTTCAGCAATTACCGAAGATGCGACACTTACATGTATTTGAATTAATCAGTAAAAAAGTATACCCAATTCTTTTTCTTTATGTTCACACAATAAACTCCAACCAACACTTAAACATTTAGCTAAGACAAAAATTCATACCCCAAAACTTTCTATATAAAAATACAAATTTTGCCATTTACCTACTTACATAGCAATCAAGCAGACCTATCTGTCTTGAGAGAGAACGTTGGAATAGAAAATTAGTTTGAAGTTAAAAGAGGAGCATGTTGCAGGGAAGAACATTCAGGAGGGAATTTCAGTGCTAATTACAGCACACCAGCTCATATTAGCATATCCACCTGCTGAGTGGAAAGGATTTCCAATATAAACCTTTAAACCTCAGAATTCTAGTGATTTCGTTGATCAGTAAAGGCATGTCATAACAAGACTGAAAAGATTTGAGGATAGGGTTTTCTGCACACCTCATCCAGCACTGCCTACGTGGATTGTAGTCATGCTGCTGACTGAAGCAAAAATGTACCCTGTAAGAGAATTTGTGGAGACCAACAAGTTAAACAAATTACATAAATTAGGCTATTAAAAAAACCAAAAGGAGAGTTAATATTGAAATGAGGGAGAGAGAAAGGGAAGACGAAGGGAAATATGTATTTTAGTATGAGATTCTTAACAGGAAATCATTACTCCAGAACATTTAACAGCTCCATAGTTAGGATACAATTTTAGAACATGTGACAACTGAACACAAGCCCTAGCTTCTAAGCAAAGCAAACAGTAAATTTAAAGATGCATCATGAGGGTGCTCTCAATAAAAGTGAATAAACCTTCTCTTAAATTTTTGTGAGGTCTGGTCTGGTGTAGACAGTCTAAGATGCTTAGACATAGGGCATGAGTGTACAGAGACAGTCAAGAACTGAGCCAAGGATCAGAGTAGCTCAGTGATGAGTTATTACTTAGTTACCTGAAGTGGTAGTTGGGCATTGAAGTTGCCTTTGTGGTTGCAGCTTCTTGTGCTTTATGGCATGAGTGCCTTACCATCAAAGCCATGCACTGCAGTTCCTTGTGAATGCTTTTAAATCATGACATTTTCTGAAACTTTCCACGGAAATACTGAAGTCACCATTTCATATGGAGCTGGGGAAGGTGAGAGGCTGCCAGTTTACCTTTTCATTTTAAAGGACAGAGAAAACCAGAGCCACAGAAAACTCTCAGAAAGTTACAATACCCACAAATATGTTGTTTTTTAAAATAAAACAAAAGGTTTTTCTAGAAAGCTAGTAGATGAATTGGGGAACTTCGTGTCTGATGTTGTTGGATTTACTGAATCTTAGAAAGTTGCATTTGGAAAAAGTAATAAAAACTAGCTTATCTCTGGGAACAGTGTCATATAGATTGCAAAACCACTGATGCACAATAAAGCCATGTTATTATTTTGGTGGGGATTTTTTAACTTGTTTTGGTTTTTTTTTCCCCCATAGCAATTTTGGCATCAGGAGGATTTATTTCTTCTTTCCCCTAAGCCAACATCTTTAATAATGGTCTAATGGTCTGTGAGAGTAGTGTCACAGTGTACTAATGATATTTGCAAATAATGCCATTTAAATAAGAGCTGAAAGCACTATTCAGAACAAAGAAATAGCATAAAAATATATGGGGAATTTAGAAACTTGTGCTGAAAATAATGAAATTGTGTTTCTTTGGAGGAAGAGGGTAACAAGCTAAAAGTTAAATTATCAGACACAAATGTCCAGTAGATGGCAGGAAATGTAGAAAGTGAGAGACGGTCCAAGGTGATGAAGTGTGGACGACTAGGGCTACTGGTGAAAGAAATTTTTGCAAGTCATTAGTGAATGTGAGTCATCAATCCTCTGCCATCTAGTCACAGAGTACTCCATAAAGTTCTGGGCAGGTTATTAATAAAAGATTACTTAGGAGTTGTGTTCAGAGGCAAGGAACAACAGTGGCCAGAGGACAGGAGTGGTGCTTAAAGGAAAAAAAAACTCAGAAGAGTTGCTCATGTGGTGATTATTGGACTACCATGGTCCAGCTCCCTCCCAGACCAGCTGTGTGGGGAGATTTGGACAAGCATTGATGAATGGAGCAGGAAACAGCCTGTGACATCTTCTGCTGTATGAGGGATGAAGAGGATACGGGCAGGGCTATCTCTCATATCCTCTGTATGTTTTCCCCAACCAAGAACACATCTGGCACAGAATCATGTTTCTACCATTGGGCAAATCCAGACATTTCAGAGGAGAGTGAAGGAAACCTTGTGGTTTGAAGGCTGTCAAGGGAGCCGTAAGGGAGGGGCTGCTTCACAAAAGAAGACAATCCAGGAGACAAGGGTGGCAACTGTAGTGGCAGGGGTAGTGTCCTCACCAGCATGAGTCAGTACCACAGTTGCCAAAGGTGGCAAGCGGGCTGGCTCCAGTGACAGTCACCAGGCCCTGCAGACAGTCCAGTGCAGAAGCGCAAAATGACGGGTCAGGTGTGAGGTCAATCCAGACGGTCCATTTGCCGAGTGACTACAGGACTACAGAGATGGGTACAGGCATGGCCAGCTCAGGCAAGGATTGGGAGCCAAGGCTTCTGGGTCCACCAGTGGAAGCCTCAGGTGAGGGTGGTCAGAGCAGCTGAGACCTGTTGGTGCCCTCAGAGCTCTTTTGGAAAAGTACAGGAAAAGTTTTAAAGGAGATACTATCTCAGTTATACTAGTACTTAATGAAGAACTTAGTAATGGTTAGTTATGGGAGTTTGTCATTTTAATGTTAGATGTTTACAGTGAAGAAACTTCTGTCACCCCAAGTCTTTTTCTGTAGTTGCTAAGTGAATGTGCTCTTTAAAGGAGCCAAATAACTCACGATAATGGTTAAGTGGGTCAGAAACGTTATACCCTACAACTACCTGTTTCTCTCCGTTGATTGTAATAAGCTATCTCAGATGAAGATGTCTAAAGCTGAATGAATTGAATCCTCTGCAAGAGACTCAGCTGAGAGTTTTTATAACACCTAGATATGTTCTGGCATCTTGGTTGTGATTTTTGTAATGCTGGGTCCTAATAAAATTGGTATCCTGGTCCAGTTATGTGAGTGCAGATGTCTGGTGGATTGAAACTGGGGAGTCTTAGGTATATGCTAAAGGATGCTTTAATGAAATGATTTTGTGGAAGCATAGGATCATATAATGATGGTGATCATAATAAATGATATATAGTCATAAAAATATGCATTTAGAAATATGAGCAACTAGTTAAAACCACTGCACAATCAAATATGCATTTATTTTAAATAATATTTTCATGACCATAATAATTTTAGTCATTCAGCTTTTTGCAAGGGGAATAAATAATAATAATTGACAGATTTCTCTTTGCTTGAAAGTTATAACGATTGTTTTAAACAGCCACAGCCTGTACTAAATGTAATTACATTTATCTTTAATTTGCATTGAGGAAGAAATGCACTTAGCTTGGCTCCTGCCTTTACAGGGAATAGCATTACTGTAACAGTTGTTTAAATTGCTTACGTTTCTGGAAAAGGACTTTTTTGTCACATGTACATTAAAAAAAAAGATGAAAAAATTCCCTCTGAAACTGTGTCAAAGACTTTGTTTCTAAAGAATGTGATCTGGATTTTCTAGATCAAACAAACAGGACATAGAAGGAGTTCCCATTTTACAGTTGCCTGTGTTTCTTAATAAAAACATTGAAAGCAGGCAATTTAGTGCTTTTGAGCAAATATATGTTTAAAATTGATCTTGAGTGTTAATTCTAGTGATTTTTTGCAGCTGAGATTGGTTGTTGAGGTAATGCATTCCAGCTTCATGCCATGTGGCCCCAGCAGGGGCTGCCTTCAATACCATACCTATAGGCCATCTTCTCATCTTGCCTCCATCCATCCTTCAGACTGATGCGTTGCAGAGGTATGATGATGCCTCTGTAGGTAGAACAAAGAAATTTGAAACAGGCGTGAATTTGATAATAAAGGAACACATGCAGAGGGAAGCTCTCTTTATTGCTTACGTCTTGAGAAGCTGGGGGTCTGAAAGTGGGTGAACTTTAAAACCAAATAAACCCCCGTAATATAATTTCTCAAAGCAGGATGCTTTCCTCACTTCAGCTAGGAAGTAAGTTGCAGTTCACTGCAAAGTGAAATTCCATCTAGGTACTGCATACTCTGAGGTTTGTTCTGTTTTTCTCTTGATTACATCTTTATACTCCAGATCCTATGGCAAAAACCCCAAAAGACAGAATAGAACCACTGTGGTGGCCTTAGGTCTGCTCACTAACTCTGTTTTGTTGGAGTTCGCTGTTGTAAGAATGGTTACAAACAAGATGAAATGGGTGTCAGATTCCTGCCCAAGATAATTACTAATTAACTTGTACACAAACTGAGAGAAAACTTGCTGAAGGAAACGTAAGTGTATAATTTCAGTTGAGGGCTTGGTGTGAAGAATTCTATAAAGAAAAAGCCAGGCATACTTTATTTTGCACCACTAGCACTTTCATAGCCAGCACATTTTATTAAGGTTTCATAATATTAGCAACTGTGAGCACAAAATATCAATTTGATTTTTATATCTGTGTAGTTACTCGGTGTAATTTGAAAAGAAGTAGACATTTATTCTGAAGAGAGGTAATGATTCACTTGTGTTTAATACTACCTGAAGTTTTCCTTCAGATTACTTATCAGTTGAATACAGTTCATATCACAGTAGATCTTAGGAACTGGACAGCAGGGTTTGAAGCTATAACACCTAGGTGCAGATATGCCAGGATTCATGAGTCACTGTTTGCTTTCAAGTCCAGTGGTGGTTTAACTCTTCAAGTTCAGGTATCCTTGGAGCCCAAGTTGTTCTTGTTATCATGATGCCACAGCTTCTGGGGGTGCTTAGAGACACTGTTCACGCAGCTTAAACTGTGAGACTGACATATGCCTGAGTCTGAAGCCCAAGGGCTGATCCTTTCCTAGGTATTTCCCCTACCTTTCTTGCCACTGTGGCCTGCCTGTTAGAAATAAAACTGATTTACGCCCAACAGAACAGCCCTAGAGTAGAGGAGACTGTGAGGTGCTGCTGCAAAAGTCGAGAGTGTGGTGACAAGAGTCCTTTTCTGGGATGTGGAGTCAAATCTTGTACTGAATTGTGCCATATGGGAGCAGGAGCAGAATTGTCATCATCTGAGCAAGTGTTTTAGCTTCTGGGCTAATAGCTAGCCACAGCTTCTGGAAAGAGGCCTGAGAAGTTGGGGTGGTAAGTCAATGGAATTACAGGAGCATCCAGCCCTGTGTGACTACTGCTGTGGGCAAATGATTCAAAAAACCATGTCACTGAGTCGGTGAGGATCTGTGATGGGAGTGCTGGGTGGGGATCAGCGCCTAACTGGCTTCAAGAGGTGAAGCTGGGCAGTTTTCCACTCACTTCATTGATCCCTGAACATTTTTACTTAAGCATCTGTCTCCCATACTGTGTTGTATTTGGAGCCCTGGCATATGTTTCTGGGCTGTGACTGCTACCGTGCAACAGAGCCAATTAAAAAAACCTCAAGTTATCTGAAGCCAGGACTATCATGAGATTATGCAGCTTTCTGCAATCACAGTTTTACCCTCTGTTCTGTGGAAATTTTTTGCTGTTTTGCTGTGATGTGAAAATGCAAAACTTTTAATAATACTGAATTTTTATTCCATGTTTCCGTGGGTACATTCAGAAAGAAGTAAGTACAACGTTGGTGGTGTTGTGTTTGTCCGTGTGCATCTGGCATGCTTGATTGTACTGTTAACAACACTTTCCTCACTTGAACTGTGTAATTGTTTGCCAGCTGGTGAAATGATCGAATTGAGCATTTCTCTCTAGCCTGATATGACACAGTCTTTCTAAGGACTGCATCAACAACCTGAGTGTCATAGAAATATAGAATGGTTTGGGTTGGAGGAGTCCTTAACGATCACCTAGTTCGAACCTCATTGCCATGGGCAGGGACACCTCTCACTAGACCAGGTTGCTCAAAGCCCCATCCAGCCTGGCCTTGGACACTCCCAGGGAGGGGGCAGCCACAGCTTCTCTGGGAAACCTGTTCCAGTGCCTCACCAGCATCACAGAAAAGGACTTCTTCCTAATGTCTAATCTAACAATTTACCCTGCTCTAGTTCAAGACCATTGCTCCTCATCCTATTACCACATGCCCTCACAAAAAGTTCCTCCCCAGCTTTCCTGTAGGTCCCCTTCAGGTACTGCTGGAAGGTCTCCGTGGAGCCTTCTCTTCTGCAGGCTGAACAACCCCAACTCTCTCAGAATGTCCTTGTAGGAGAGGTGCTCCTGTGCAGAGAAAGAGGTGTTGTGTTAAGAAGAGGCAGAATGTTTTAGGCAAAGTCATTATAGTTGTTAGAACAGATGGAATATCTACCCTGTCCTGTACAGAATTTTGTACGGTGGATTGCTGTAACTGTGGGAGGCTTTCCTAGCAGTGAGAGGTAGCAATTTATTGAGATGACTGTTGGTGCCACTCCTCCTGTCCCACTCTATTAAAATAGCCATGTTTTTACTAATCCTTAATTATTTTCTTCACAAAGAAGAGAGGGTGAAATTCAGGCTACAGTGCTCAGTAACAAGCACTGGTATAACTGAGTGCAGTTTGTTCGCTGTTTGACACCGCAGTCTAAATCAAAGATCTCCAGCTGCGGGGTTACATAGTTCCCCTTGAAACATTGCACAGCAGGCAGTCACTGCGGATCAACTGTTAAGGCTGTGTCTAGCTGGGTCGTGGGCTGATGATGTGCTTGATATCCCAGTAGGAGATCACTCCCAGAGCTAGGGAGTGTGACATGAGTGAGATGTGACAAGACAGGTGTGCAGTGGATGCAGGAGAGTTGGTACCCAAGACTGGCACTGATTGTACCCACACAAATGAGGTCTGAGGTCCCCACCTGTGCTGTGTTAACCATAACCTGCTTTCTGAAATATCACAGGACTGACCAGAATTTTTACTGCTGAAATGTACTTGTCAGTTCCCTGGGTTCCCTTTGATGGTTTCTGATCTTGAGAAATTGAGATATTGAGGGGCTGGAGAGGGTCCAGAGGAGAGCAGCGAGGCTGGGGAAGGGACTGGAGGGAAAGTCCTGTGAGGAGAGCAACGAGGGAGCTGGGGGTGTTGAGCCTGGAGAAGAGGAGACTCAGGGGGGACCTTCTCACTCTCTACAACTGCGTGAAGGGAGGGTGTAGTCAGGTGGGCGTCGGGCTCTTCTCTCGGGCAACCAGTGACAGGACGAGAGGGCCCGGCCTGAAACTGCGTCAGGGGAGGTTTAGGCTGGATCTCAGGAAGCCCTTCCTCACGGAGAGGGTGCTCAGGCACTGGGATGCACTGCCCAGGGCAGTGGTGGAGTCACCGTCCCTGGAGGTGTTTAAGGAGAGGCTGCATGTGGCACTTAGTGCCGTGCTCTGGCCCATGTGGTGGTGTTGGGCCATAGGCTGGACTTGATGATCTCAGAGGTCTTTTCCAGCCTCAACAATTCTGTGATTCTGTAAAATTTGAGTATCTGGGAAACCAGATGTAGTTGAGGGAGGTAGAAGCTGAAGGTTCTAGATCTAAGGTAAACCTGGACACCCCATAGACATCACAGCTGACTGAAAATGTGGTTTGTAGATACTTCTTTTTCCTCAATCTCTGTGCTGAATCCTGTTTTTTACCATTTCCTTCACTTGCATGGCAGCTTGTTCTGTGAAAACTGATCTACTTCTCTCAGGAAATGGCAGATAAACATAAGAAAAAAAGTGTCAGGATATTGCTTGGTGCCATGGAAATGATTTGTGTTCTGACTGCAAAAGCAAGAGTTGTAGTTTAAGTATAAATTGAAACATTCTGAGTAAATAAAATTAAAGTCTTTTTCTTTGGTCAAAACAATAATTTTCTTTGTCTTAAAGGAGAAATTCCTTTTAGTCTTGTTCTGAATGCCTATTATTCTCAATGTGTTAATCATGGTCTCAGGCACATAGCACCAGCAAACTGTAGAATGAATGTACAGGATCTAAGCAAAAAGAAAGTGAACATACTGTTTATCAGGCAGAATATTTTTTCTTGTAAGGTCTTAGACTCCAAACTTAAGCCCATTCCTGCAGAGGAAAGAAATACCAAAACTGAGCATGAGCTTAAAGTAATTTTCTGGAAATGGATTGCGTCTGAGGAAAGTGTTGGTCATATGCGTCATCTGGGTTGAAGGGTTTGAACTAAAATACTTGGGTTTGATCCTTCTGACTGTGTATTGCTTTTAACAGTGACAGCTACAGTGACCTGAGCGATGACAGCTCTCCAGAAAAAGAGTTTCCTAATTCAGAAACAAGCTGAAGTGAAGCGGAAATGGATGATGATATTGAGGTAAATTGAATTGTTTTGATACTACCTTATGACATTTATTTCTTCTGGACTTAAAACAGGAGAGAGTTACCTTGATTATCCCTTTTGTTTCAAATCCCTTCTGAGAGCTTGTGTTTTCTTCCTTGCCTGTAGCACGTGATTGTTTTCCTCTGCTGCTGCTTAAGTCTGCAATTGTTATATTAAAGTCTGTTGGGTACAGCTTATATGTAGGATGCTGTACAAAATCAAGTTTTGACAGTGTTTGAAGATACAATTAAAATACATTTTTAAATTATGATTTTTTTTATTACTTCAGTTTTCAAGTTGGTATCACTTTGAGTACACTATTTTGACATAACTTTTTATTTTGTGTTACCATCCACCTGTAACTACTTTTGATGCATTGACACAATGAAGATGTTCCAAGATAGGGATTTGGATTTAATCTGCAGAGTGATAGAGATGCAAGCAAGTTTTATAAAACTAGCTTTGCTTGCCATAGGCTTTGCCAAAGTGATGTTGGATTGGTTGTTTTTTCTCCTGTGAATGTTGGCAGCCATATATTTCCTTTCGGTTTGGAGGTTATGTTTCTTGTGAGACACCTGATCTCTGCAGGATCTGGATTTAAATCTTAGTGTTTATTTTCCC